ACCGTTTCTGAGGTGGCTGCCCAGTTATCACCAAACTCAAGTTCCAGTGAGTATGTTGTAATCAAACCGTCCCCACGTCTCCACTTCCTCCTACTTCAAAGTCAAGGAAGTGAATAGATCATTTTGAATGAAGAGTACCAGAGAAGTGTACGTTCCACTTCCGCAGAATATGAAATCGCGGAACTCGCTACCAAGATACCAAACACTAGTACCAGTGTCAAGAACAAGAGAAGGTGTTGTGAACAAAACCCCACCCTCTTTGCATTCCCGCCCACCCCAAAGTCCCGGAAGTGAAACAGTGGATAACCCTGAAGAGTTTTTGAGAAGGTTTGCTATTCTGCGAATCGCAAATTTGAAGGACTGAATACCTAGTTATCAAATACAAATACCAGAGAAGTAAACCCTACCCCCTCCACCGAAGTGGTTATGATGTTCTCAATCACAAGTAGCAGTGGGTCTGATGATATCAAAGCAGAAGACCTCATCGCACCCTCATTGCACCTCCGCCAACTCAAGAACAACGGAAGTGATTCAGTAGTTAGCTAAAATGAGCACCTGAGAACAGTGGAGATGTCATTGACTTATGCAACCCCATTAACAGGGAAACCCCAGTAACAGGGAGTCAAGGGGCTCGAGGGAGAAGACTAACATCATGGACACACAAGAGTATTGCATTGCTAAATGGGGAGGGTCAGACTTAAACTAACAATAACAATGGCCGAGTAGGAGGCATGGCGTTACCTCATCCAGACTTTTGGACCTTTGACGTGTAGAGGATCAAAGGATGTTCACGGCGTCTTCTTTGTCTCTCCTCAACCCCACCATCTGAATCAGACCTGTGAGGGTCGGTGTCTTCATCATCGTTCTCTTCATCGCCTGGACCAGAATGACTACTTGAGTCTTCAGTCCCAGAATCAGAGCTAGAGGACGAAGGAATCTTCCCATGAACCGGCTTGCCAGAAGGCCTTGGCGCACGGATCTCACCCTCTTCCTCAGACTCTTCTTCGTCCATTTCGTCGTCTTCGTCCTCTTCTTCTTCCTCCTCGACTTCCTCTTCTTCCTCCTCCACTTCCTCTTCTTCCGTCAGGCTCGACCCATCACTGCTTTCCCCACCAGCAGTCCCCTCAACTAGTCCTTGCCATCCTGCCGTCAGCTTGGCTCGACACTTCTCGACAGAAGCTTGCAAATCTTCTTCCAATACGACGTCTGGCGCAGGCTCGCCATTAAAATTCAAAGACTTGAGCGGGGTGACCAAGCAGACTTCAGAGAGTACGTCCTGCAGAGCCAGCCGGGCTATGTTGTGAGAAGTAACATGTTCAGCCCAGAATTTGGGAGCAGCCTCCCAATCGACTTTGTCGGTGATCCGCACGTGCATTTTCGTCTTGACAAGTAGCCAACGAACAAAGCTATCAATCCTATACCAAGGAGTATCCTCTGTACGTCGCTTCGATAGGTGTCCTCTTTCGTATATCCAGTCCGATTTCCCTTTGGCCAGATGGACCAGCACCCAAACGTCCTTTTGATTGTAGTGATGCGAGTCAGTCAGGAATTGCCACCATCCCGCCGCCCCGTACAGAAAAAAGATAGCCATAGAACCAAAAGCCGCCAATCGATCCTCTCCCCATTCCTTCATCGCCTTCGAGTTTTTCGTGTCTTTGACGTCGCCATGTTTATATAAGCTTTGAGCCCGCTGATTGGCAGACATATGTTGGGATACAAGCATGGTCTGGTTCGGATAGGTGCCAGTCTGGATACAGTGCTCCAAGTCTTGTTGGAAAAGTGATTGTTGCATCATGAGCACACACAAAAGAGTGTCCCATATGCGCCTCTGCAGTAACATTAAGCCATTCCCTGTCCGAGCGTTTCCGTGATGAGCAGAGGTCGCCGCGCCCACTTTCAGAGATTTGATTTTATTGATCACAAATCGACCAGCTTGGAGGGCAGTATCTTGCTTGAAAGTGGGGATGCTCTTGTCGACCGGTTTGTCTGATGGTGACACATAGCGATGGAATTCGTTAAAGCTCGACACAGTCAACGTGTGAATCTTGCGGAAGGCAGCATCGAAAAGTTTCACGGTGTTATCGTCTTCGGTATAGTCAGGGTAGTGGTCAACCCGGAGCATCATTCCATACAAAGTAATCCAAGAGGCGGCCTTCACTGAGTCTTTCGAATCGTGAGCCTTTTTGATAATCGATAAATCCACCGCTTCCTTCGTCCAGAATGGATCCGCTGCATCCACCTGCAAAAGCCTGGGGCCTAATAATGGCAGGACTCATATCGGCAACAGGTAAAGCATTGGAGGCCAGACAAAAACTTACATTTCATAATTAACTCAGGGAAATCCCCCTCAAATACCTCTTTGATAGCGTCGATCATATGAGGCTCTGGAGTAAACTGGGGTGATTTCGTGTAAAAGCTGTCTTCCCGTCTGTCTTTCTTAAAAGCCAGTATCATATCGGCCACCTTGTCCATAAGTTCTGGTCCGAAGTCCCATTGGGGGTTTCTTGAATCAGTCAACATCCTCTTGTGGGCCCTACGAGCCTCTTCACACTCTTTCGGCGTCAACATTGGAGCTAGCAGATCTGCAAGGACGGGACAAACGTGAGCTCATAATCACAACATCCAAAGATACAAAAAAAGGATGTGGGCTTACTGCCAGGCTGGGGAGGTATCGCATGTACACAGTGCGCCTTCTCCTCCTTCCTTGCCTTTGCTTTCTCCTTGCGCTCCTCCAATCGAGCGGCCTTCTCCTCGGCGGTCATATCAGCCAGTTTCTTCTTGGTCGTTTTGGCGGCTTTCTCCTTCGCTGTTGCCTGGCCTTTACCCTTCCCCTTGCGCCTATCTTTCTTAGGGGGTTCTGGTTCATCAACCCTATCCTCAACATCAGCAACCGCCCCAGTGTGATCGACTTCAGCTCCTTCAGGGTCCGCTGCAGTTTGCTTATGGGCGGTCGACTGCTTTGTATTTCCTGGGGTATTAAGGGCGCGAGCATCCTTATCAGAGACGTTCAAAACCGGATCCAGGCCTTTCCCCTTCCCCTTGCCGCTGACCCACTTAAGGGCTTCTGGATCAACAACCATATCCCCACCATCAGCATCCGCGCCAGTGTCCGTATTGAGACCGCGTCCCTCCGTATCCGAGGCGTTCCAGACCGGGTCACCCATCTGAACGTCAGCCGAAGTGTCATCGACATTTGAGCCCTTTCCGATTCTTTAGAGGGAGCAACATCGACTGGGGTGGCCAAATCGGACATAGAAGGCTTCGACACATTTTTATTAACCAGTTGGTCCGGCCGTGTCCCTGGCACTTGAGCAGCCTTACCCACACCTCCAGACCGCGTCCTGGGAGCGGTCGGCAAGTTTGCATGACTCGGGGTGGACAAAGGCGCCGACTTCGGAAGTCTTTGCTTGAATGGGTCCTGGGTCGTTGGCTGCTGGGTATCAGTGACCGCCTGTCCGACCTGATTGGAGACATTGCCACCGGGGGCAGCTGGCTTGCTGGAAGAGGCCAGGAGGCCACCGGGCGGCCCCGTGGGAGAGTAGGGCAACGAAAGGTCCGATTGAAATTGTGAAGTGAACTCTGATATGCTTGGTTGACGGTTGACAGGAAACTTGGGCGCGATCCCAGCCAGCAGGTCTTTATCAGGAATGTCCCGGAACGAGTAGGGCGGGAGATTCGGCTGGATGTACTGGCCAGGAGGCGGTGGAGGGACTAGTCACCTGAGTCAGTGATGAAAATAAAGACCAACAGGCGTAACCAGCAAAACACCTACCAGTCGTTCGGGTTTTCTTAGCCATGACTGGACTATCGTCTGACTCAGACGCTTCTGAGGGCCCTGCGAGATACCCCAACGATAATCAGACAACCATGAACGCAGCAGAACTTAAACGAGATCACGTACTGCTGAGACGCTTGGCCGAACCAGTAACTGAAGAGGTTGAAGGTCCGTTATCCGGGGGTTCATCCGTAGTCAAATCGATGACTTCGATGGCGTCAGAGATCCCAGCGTTCTCAGCCTCGGCAATCTTTTGGTCCAATTGACTACAATATCTTGTCATCAATCTGAGGTGACGATCCTGGAACCCATACGCCCCGGGAGCCAACAGATGCAAGTCCTCCGACCGAATCTCAGTCACACTCGTCGATAACATCTCCCTCGTGTTGGAGCCTACATAGAAATGAAGTCACCACATGAGCCACGGCAACCAACCTGTCCAAGGTAACTAACAGTAACAACTTACAAATTCGACGCATAGATTTCAACTGATCTAATGACGCAGTCGCCAGGTTGGGTAGCATGGCATTGGTGATAGAGCTCGAGGTAGAAGGGGTACGAGTCATCATTCCTTTGTGTAGAGGAGTGACCACTCCTGGAGCATGAGAGGCCAAGACCGGTTTTGGAACCTTCGGAGGGCCACCGGTGTTTGGAGGATCTTGAATAACCAGAGAAGAGTTTTTTGCCGTGGGGGCGACTAGAGGTGTCGACAACAATGTTGTCTTGCGCGCATCTGATGAGGACCCCGTCGAAAGCGCCCTGGCAGGAGTCCCAACACCTACAGGTGACAACTTCGGAAACTGATCTAGAAAAGCCCTGCATTCAGCCAAGCTCATAAACTCCCCATTGCCCACCGGCTTGAAAACAACGTAGGATAATCACAACTTGCGTCAGAATATCACCAGCCAGAAGATCCACCAGTAGAAGACCCGGTGGACTTACGATCATGTTATCAGGAGATTTGATACCCCTCGTCGCCTGCTCGTGACGAGCCAAAGCATCAGCTATCATCTTCGAGTTCGCACGATGACCAACAATCGGAGGCAATTTCTCCGACCCTGAACCAGTGTCCTTGGAAGCACCCTCTTGACGAGCCAAAGCATCGGCTAACAACTTAGGGTTTAACCCATGCCCGACGTTAACACTACCCCCAGTTGAAGCGGGCGGACCGAGCGTGGTCTTCGGAACGACAACCTTTGGAGAAGACTTCGAGCCGGAGGCCTTTGGGCCAGTCGTTAAGATCGGCTTCTTTTTCTTCTTGACCTCCAAGGACTTGGGCTGACAGGTCTTATGAAAAACAGAGTGCAGATTAGCTACCAATAGCCACGGAAAGTACAAGAGCAGGCCAAACTGAGCGACGCACCGTTTCGGGAGGCTGAGATGTCAATGTCTCATTGACATGCAGCTCCTCTTCTGAGCCGTTCTCATCGTCAGAAAGTGCGGGATCGAGTTGGGCCCCCTCCCTTCCGATAGTTCGGAAGTCTTCAGGAGTCGGCGAAGATCGTTTTGATTTCTGGCCACCAATTGGCTGGAACAATCCTCCCAGGAAAGGCAAGAAAAATCAGCTTCATTCCATTAATCGGCCAGTAGACGCGATGCTTACAGGCCTTTGAGCCGACAGGTACCTCTGCATCTCCTGAGGCACCTTTTTCGGGGGCACGGTAACCCATTCACTACCACGAGGCCCAGACTTGGCCGGCTTGATTACATGTATCGATCAGTGCCAGATAGATCAATCGGATGCGCCGATAGTACTCACCCCAGCAGGGCCTTTGGACTTCGAGCCATTGCGAGAAGCGCCTAACCCTGAAGCCTGGTCCCGCATGATTTGGACTTGGGCACAAACTGTGGTTAGAGCCGAACGACATATCAGCCCGCCAAGTCCAGAACCAAGTAACCAATAACCAAGCACTTCCTTCTATTGAACTCCACCCGTGCAAGCTCGACCCGATCACGTGCCCGCTCATTATGACCAGACGAAGCATTACGAAGAGAGCGTCTCGGTTCGGACGCAGGCGAGGTAGGGATATGCTGAGGGGAAGAACTAAACATCGGCCGATTAGCAGTAGGAGGAGGTTCTGTTGCAGGAGTAGAGACATTGGAAGTATCGTGGTCCATTGAGGTGGTCGGTGTGATGAACAAGGAGGTAAATCGGTTTGATTCTACTCAGCTTCAAAGGAGACAAGTAGTACAGTATAATCTTCAAAGCGGGGTTGCGAGCGCGAGGTGAGAGTGCAAAAGAGGCAGAAGTTGGAAGGGGCAAAGAGGCGGAGGTGCGGGGGAAGAGAACCAGGAAGAGAAGCCCCCCCCCCCCCGAGCCCAAGCCCCATTTGGGTTAGGTTTTGTCATCAAACATCACTAATATTGAATAATCATAAACTCATAACATTATGTATATGCATGGCATGATCCCCATCCTGAGCCAGACGCATAATACCAACCAGCCCACTGAGTGACCGCACCAACCTACCAAAACCTTGATACTTCATACGATCGGTTGTCTATCGAACGCCAGATGATATAATTCAACACCTCCATCTGATTGCCAGCCGAATGAACCTCCCTTAACCTCCGCGCTAATCAGCCATGGTGCCGGGACATCTGATCGGGCGAAACTGAGGTGAGTGGGACCAGGGGCGTACAAACATAGAGGATACAAAGCATACTCAGACCTCAGCTGAGCAATCACCTACATTGCAGACCGAATCCACATTCAAACTATGACAATAAACCATGTGGGTAAGTAACCCTTCCATCACCGGATTACCCGATGTAGAAGTAGCCACACTTACATAACCTAAGCTGAGCAGTAGGATAACCGATACACAACCCACCCAACAACAAGGACCCAAAGGGGATCACCTGGCCGAGGAGTATCGAGCATATGGACTTGCATGAGACCCAAGGCAAGCTATCAACTGGTCCCTCACCTCAGTGTATCCCACTCTATCTTTGCAGGCACCCCAGTCGCCCCCTAACCTCCAGAATATGCCTCAAGCCTCTCCCAGTAGATCGACACCCAACCATCAGGGAGCTCAGGAAGGGGTGAGCGGGTCCCTAACCAACCACCATCACACCGAGAGATACTCACCCCAACCAAAACCACCACTTCTGCCCCTCCTCACCACCGAACCCCCCAAGGATTTGATAGATACCGAACAGAACAAAAGGAACCTCTCCTACCTCAGACAAGCAAGCACCCACTGGAGTGCAACCGAGACTCATCAGAATTCCAAGGCCCCAGGGGTAAGCAAGGCAAGCGAACTAGCACTCCTTCAGTAGATGTGCGGCCCAGGCTAACCCTCAACCCTAGATAGCCACACGACCAAACATAACCGATCACTATCCATAAGAGATGGCAAGTCCACCAACCGTAACGAACCAACAAGTGCGCCCGACCAATGAGTCAAGCCATGTGCTGGCAGCCGCATCACTGACCACACATTCCTCTACCTCAGTTACGATGCTTGCGATGCCAAGAACAGAACAACCCCGAGCAATGTGTTTTTGATGTCGAATCCTACACGTGTGGCCCATGTGCCATGATCGGTGTCCCATGCGAGTTCACGCCGAGTGAGTAAATCCAGATAGGTAGGGGAGGAATACGAAATACCAAGCTAACATCCAGATTGTAAGGGCCCACACCTGACCAACTCAGAGTTGAACGGGCTCTCATCAGACAATTGCTTCGAACCCACGCACAACTACACCGTGTGAGGACCCAAATAGTCCAACGACCAGGCTACCATGGCATCAGTTACTTCACCGAAGTATTACTCAGGCGAATACGTGCCGAAGTGGCTCGGCTGGAGAGACAAGTGTTCGGGATGTCAGATGGAGAGTTGACGTGATAGGCTCATCAATACTACCCTAGAACTAAGAAAGAATGACCAGATGAAGATGTGCGACAGCGCAAGACTAGTATTAATGTCTTGTCAGACCTAACCCAACCCTAACCAGCTTTATACGCGTAGTTAGAATTTTAGAACGATAGTGAGACAATAATTTATGTGTAGTCCTTTTAAGTAATTGATTAGCTTAAGCGACTTACTGCCTTCCCGAAACAAACACCCAAGGAAGGGCCTCAACCCCTGCAGACAAATCTAGTAAGAGTGGAAAGCAAGAACTAACGATTTGCAGGAGTAAGACACCAGAAAATGAACCAGTAAATGACCCGAAGAATCAATTCCGCGACTTAACATGTGACGGAAGTGGACACCAAATGGTGTACCAAACTTGATGAAGCCTCATCCATCCAACACTAGTGACTTAACAAAAATGAATCACCATGCAATGAGCAAGTGTCTGGCCAGCCAGAGTAATAAATTACGAACCCTACAAGATAACAGGACTACACCTAAAACATGGATGAAATCCAAACCGGAGCTCTTGCTCCCGCGACCTGACACTTCCCGGAAGTGAAAATATGAAATATCGAGTAACGGAAGTGGACACCAATAGATTTATCAATCATCATCAAACGTTATTCTCCCTCTCCCGCGACTTGTCACTTGCCGGAAGTGACAAATCTGACTCGACGATTAAATACGACCTTGACTTGGCACTTCCCTGAATGAACACATCAGGCCAAGATATGTCATATGGAAAACAAGGTTGAAAACCTACCCAGAGCTCTTAAGCTGTTACATTTGGGACTGGTCATTTGCCAGGTCTAAAAAGTCTGACTTGGTTAATGTTTAAGGGAAGCAGACCCCGATGGATTATCAACCATAATCGAACATGATGCTCCCGCGAATTGTCACTTCCCGGAAGTACAACATGTGACTTCATGTTCAACCAAAGCAGACAACAAAAGATCTAGCAAAAAATAATCAGACGTCATACCACTGATGAATGTCACTTCGGTCAATGGTTACTTGTGTAAATTGTCACCCCCTTGAAGTGTCACTCTGGTGAAGTGTCACTTCGGAGAAGTAAAACACCAGGCAATCAAAAATTTATGAAAATCATGGACCAAACAGGCTGCGGTCAAGGGTACAAGTCGATGTGAGAGGAGGAAGATTTGCATGAAAAAGTCGGCTCAGCCCTTGGACGGATGGGGCTTCTCTGTGAAAGCGTAGGTTATCAAGACTGTGAGAGATCGACTGGGTCTTTGCTCAAGTACTCACGGTTTGGCTTGGACAATCTGCTGACCTTGAAAGGATCTGAGTTGACTTCCGGGAGCTCATGGTTCCCGGAAGTGAAGAGGTTGGATATTTGAAGGTAAGGAAGTCAAATACAGAAAACATGGATGTCAAATCACTTGCGTCAAGTATTAGTACCCGGAAGTGAAAGTATTAATATCAAAGATTTGATTATATCTTATCAAAACAATAACAAGACCCCTAACCCATTTCATTTCCGGGAACTCATAGTTGCCGGAAGTGAAAGTATTAATCAAAATTATTAGACAACCAGCATCACAAGTCAATTAGAGTTTTGTCGCCATTGACATATTGACTCAATCTCAGTTCGCTTCCCATAATTCCCGGCGGTGGAAATCTTAACAAAATGGGTTTGAACGGATCATATCAAACTGATATGTAGCCCCCAAGACTAGCTCCATGTTGGAGAACAAACTAATTGATTGTCTCTTATCGAAACGATGTCAAGACCCCTAACCAAATTCACTCCCGGGAACTCATAGTTCCCGGAAGTGAAAGGAATCAATTCACTCCCCGGAACTCGTAGTTCCCGGAAGTGAAAGGAATAAATTCACTCCCGGGAACTATAGTTCCCGGAAGTGAAAGGAATAATAGAATGGATTACACAACCAAGAGTTATCGAGAGACGATTGGTGGTTGCTCTGCATTAACAGATTGAACCGATCACATTTCCCTTCTGGGAGCTCGTACTAACCTAATTCACTCCCGAGAACTCGTAGTTCCCGGAAGTGAAATGAGTAATAGAGAAGATTACACAACCAAGAGTTATCTAGAGACGAATGGTGGTTGCTCTGCATTAACAGGTTGAACCGATCTCTGTTCACTTCTGGGAGCTCATAGTTCCCGGGAATGAAAATCGTAAAGATTAGAATGTCAAAATGATATGAAACCCCTAAGGCTTGGTCCATTTTACAGGAACAAAGACGCCCATCACATTGGCAGTAGAAGACAGGAAACATGGATGTCAAAAGACTTTCTCGAACTCATAGTACCCGGAAGAGTCAGCGTTAATTGGAAAGATATGATTGTCTCTTAACAAAGCGATTACAGGACCCCTCGGCCAAAGCAATTCCGGGAACTCACAGTTCCCGGAAGTAAATGTATTATTCAAAATTATTAGACAACCCAGCATCACAAGTCAAATAGATATCTCTCTGATGACGTATTGAATCAATCACCGTTCCCTTGTGAGCTCATAGTTCCAGGGGGAGAAGATCTTAACGAGATGAATCAATCTCAGTTCAGTTCCTGGAGCTCATAGTTCGCGGGGGTGGTAGACATAACAAAAAGGAGTAGAAGGTATCTTATCATAAAGATATGAAGCGCCCAAGAGTTGGTCAATTGTGGAGAACCAACGCCCCAATCCCAACCCACTTCCGGGAGCTCATAGTTCCCGGGAGTGAAAGACGATAAACACATCAATGTCAATTGACTTCCGGGAACTCATAGTTCCCGGAAGTGAGAGTAATGAGTAATAATAAAGAATAGTTGATTGTCTCATATTGACGGGATATCAATACCCCTAACCCAATTCACCTCTGGGAACTCATAGATCCCGGAAGTGAAAGGAATAATTGAATAAGTCATACTTCCAAGAAGTGAAAACAATAAACTAAGTTACCCATAATTGGAGTTGGTGAGGATGAAGGGACCATGAACGTGAGAGAAAAGG